GTACACAATCAACTGAGGGCTCCTTGACATGTATTGCAACGTCTCCAATAAGCATGCTCCATGAGCTAACTTGTGTGTTTCATGGAATTCTTATGAATTGTGAGTGTGTTATGATTTTTTGTATTACATTTCCATTGATTTTATTGGTTCCCATTGTTTTTTCCCAGTTCTTAGTTAACTATGAGGTGTCTATAATATTGAAACTTCTAGGTGAGATCCCTATCATTTTTATTTCCTAGTTTTTAGATGCAAAAGCAAGAATGAAAATGCTCTCTTACCAGATTGCACATTTTTAGCATTCATTTTTCCTATTTCCATTTTGTTGTAATATGATCTGTATCTTGCAGGTGAACGTTCCAAAGACAAAGAAGACATATTGCTAGTCTAAGGAATGCCGGAAGCACACCTTGCATAAGGTTACGCAGTACAAGAAGGGAAAGGATAGTTTGGCTGTGCAGGGCAACGCCGGTATGATCGGAAACAGTCAGGTTGTGGTGGACAAACCAAACCTGTTTTCCACAAGAAGGTAAAACCTATTTCTATTATGTCTCTTTACTTTACAAGGTATATATCTTATTTGAGATTGGTGGTTATCTACAACTCATGGTCAGACCCTGATGCCCTGCATATTTGTTTTCCTAGCTGACTTGAACTGATCTAAGTTGTTGATTCTTGCAAATATCTGCAATTGGACACATCGAGTGCCTTCTAGAAATCATGGGTTGGACCTGATATATTCAGCGTGCACGGAATCATTAATAATTCGCAAATATTGTAGATTTTTTTTTATAAGTAAAATATTGTAGATTATTGATGAACGTGTAACTGTTTTTTCATTGTTGACGTCAACTGGCAATGTGGTGTGCCTCTAGGTCATCTCTTGTTAATTATTAATGGAAGTAGAGGCATTGTTCTTTCAGTAGTGTGTCTTGTCCAGCCATTGATTTATGGATTTACTTTTTCTTTATACAAGTAATTGTTTTTCAATTTTTTTAATTTCTACTTCTTTTGAATGGGTGGGGGTTGTGTCCATCACCCCTTATATATATATATATATATATATATATATATATATATTCCTTTTATTTATGTTTTATTTTGAAGAGGTAGTTTCTGAAGTCATAAAAGCCAAGGAAGTAGTGGTCAAATTTGTGTTGGTCCCATACTCAAAGTACATCATATTGACATATTGCTTTGTGGGTTGGATTTCAATTTGGTTAATAAAAAGATGCTTTTTCCTTTGTCTCTTTGATGTTGGACAAGGGAGCAGCCTTATATAGTTAAGAACTTAAAGAATTCGGAGGCTGAAAGTTCAAAGAACTAGGGCTAAAATTTGGGATGTTTGATAGTAGAAATGTTGGAAATCAAGGAGAATAGAATACAAGCTGCCTATTGGCGGCATCACTCCAACAGGGTCAGAAAAATAGATTATCGTTCAAGAGAGAAAGGATTTGAAAATAAGAAAAAGCCTATTGGCATACACCCAGAAAACCAAAAAAAAAACCTATTGGAATCACTCCAACAGGCCTAGGTATCACACCTAGAGAAGTCCTCACACCCTCGGAATTTGTGAATCACTCACAGATAAATCTTAAAGGATATTTTTATTCATTCATTCATTGCCTCACCAAGTTTACATCATACCCTACTTATAGCAACTTATGACCCTGAGATTACCCCATGATTGAGGTAATAAAAAGTTGACTCTATAGCATAATAAAAGTAATCACTCCATAATTGAGGTAATCAATATTTGACTCTATGATTACCCCATAATTAAGGTAATCAATACTTCCCTAATAGCATAATTAAAGTAACTAAAAGCTGACCAAATCTCCCAATTATTCAAAACTCCATGTGGACCCATATTATCTAGCGTATGCCAGCTCGAATCTTAGAATCCTCCTTTTGGCGCCTTTTATACACCTTTAAAAATTTCTGCCATTGATTTCCATCACTCTTTATTCCCCCTTCTAAGGTTGGGCTAGGAGTCATCAGTTCCCAAAGATTCTTTGTGTGTGTGGAAAAGGAGGGGGGATGCTCCATTTTCCAATATTAGAAGTGCTGGATTGATATAGATTGAAAATCAGTTGCACATAATTCTATCATATTTGAAAAGATATGGAAGCTGGAATTTGTGGCACTTCAATATTATTCTCCTTTGACTACTTATTGAATTTCTCAGGCATCTCTCTACAATCAGCTTTTACAGCCGCCAGCAGGGATTTATATTTAACAGTGATATTGTCTATTCAATACGGTGGAAGTATATAAAGTTGTGTGTATCATCATCTTAGCACGTCTTCCAGACCCTCATTGGGCTTTCCTTTATTATACAACCCTGTATACTAGATTTTCTCAATAAGGCACTAGTCATTAGTCATTACATATGTAGCAAACAGCTGCTAATGATGGCAGCATGGCAAAAATAAGTTGTTGTATGGAAGAGAAAAGGTTGGTCAAAAGGTATAGGATTTGTAGTGGTGGAAATTCTAAGAGCTTTATATGGTATAGCTTCAATCCACCCCCCTCTCCAAACGTTCAGTTGTGGTTCAGATGGGTCATTGCTAAAATGAATCGAATTCTATCAGATATTTATATTTCTCCTTTGACATACTCATATATATATATATATATATATATATCCTATAACTTTCATTTCACAGTAGAAACTATTCTAGGAGAACTTTGAATCAGTTCCGTTCAGATGTTGATTGCTCTAGTCTTGGTTTGACATCGTTTACTCGTTACTGGTTCTGGAAGAGTGGAAGAGTTACTCTCTCCATTAGCTAAACCATTTCTTACCTTGCGTATGGATTCGTATATTCTATGTACACAATCAACTGAGGGCTCCTTGACATATTTTGCAACGTCTCCAATAAGCGTGCTCCACGAGCTAACTTGTGTGTTTCATGGAATTTTTATGAATTGTGAGTGTGTTATGATTTTTTGTATTACGTTTCCTTTGATTTTATTGGTTCCCATTGTTTTTTTCAAGTTCTTAGTTAACTATGAGGTGTCTATAATATTGAAACTTCTAGGTGAGATCCTATCATTTTTATTTCCTAGTTTTTAGATGCAAATGCAGCAAAACTTGATCTCAAGTTAAAGCAAGAATGAAAATGCTCTCTTACCAGATTGCACATTTTTAGCATTCATTTTTCCTATTTCCATTTTGATGTAATATGATCTGTATCTTGCAGGTGAATGTTCCAAAGATAAAGAAGACATATTGCAAGTCTAAGGAATGCCGGAAGCACACCTTGCATAATGTTACGCAGTACAAGAAGGGAAAGGATAGTTTGGCTGTGCAGGGCAAGCGCCGGTATGATCGGAAACAGTCAGGTTGTGGTGGACAAACCAAACCTGTTTTCCACACGGAGGTAAAACCTATTTCTATTATGTCGGGAGATAAGAAGGGGAAGGAGACTTCTCTTTTCTAAGTGGCAGTTTTATGGAGTATCACCCTGGTCTTATTGCTGTGCTATGTTTCTTGACCTCAGGTTTAACTTTCAATTTGAATGCTTCTGTTTTATGCTTGTTTTTAGTTTTTGAAATGAATGGATATACCTTTGCATACTTGAAGGGCAATGTAGCTTGGATTAAGCTATCGAGATTATGAATATAAAAATGGATTTTAAATATCACTATTTAGCAGGCAGGTTCTGTAAAGATCCCGATAAATCTAATTGGTTTGTGTTGCATTGTCTATTCAGCTTTCTTATTTGTTGTCATAGGCTTTTGTGTATTGAACCTTGCTACCCTATCAGTGCCATGATAATACCTTCATTTGTATATTTGTGCTTATATATATACATATTTATATTGATTACTGTAGTATGTTTGTTTTTGCTTTAATTTATTTTTTTGGGTAAATTGTTTTTGATTTTATAGAACTACTCTTATAATTTGAGTAATAGGGAACATGAATAAATGATGAAGAAGTTTTACATAATTATGGGTGGTACCCTCTATGCACAAATGCATTGATAAGGGGGCAAGAGTTTCCTTCACCAAGATGATGCTTAACATGTGAATTCAAATCTGGTGAAAAAGAATATATGAAGAGCGGATGTGAGTTATTTGTCATGAAAAAAAAGGCATTTTTTCCTTGAACAAAATAATTTTTAACTTTTTATTTTAATTATATATATATATATATATATATATATATCTGGACATACGGAAATGATCTCTTGCTCAACGGTGAGCAAGAAATTTGTCCACATAGATGGATATGTATTTGCATCTAAGTGCTTCCTTTTAGGAAAATTGTTTCAAGTATTTCTATTATCCCTTTCTATGATGGTTTCTCTCTCCCTCCCTGCCTATTAAAATACTATCCATGCACATTTTCTAATATAGAGTACTTAAAGTTGTACATTTAAAATTATATGGGTGAATTATCCTGACCTCCTCACGTTTCCATCCTCAGACGAAAACCTTTAGAAAAACCAGTCTTCCCGGTTAAAATTACTGAAATAACCGTGCAAATGTTTGTAATGACTTGTACTCCCATCACTAAAGCGAGTTGCTGATAGTTGGAAATTCTTTAAAGTCCTTGCACATCCTTAGGTGACCTAACACATTAAAACTCAATGTTAGATGGATATTCCAAAACAAATTAATTGACCTCTTTCCATAGTCGTCAGTTGCATTTCTCTCCGGTTGAAAAATCTGAGGGCGACAGATAGCATACATATACATCCATCATTTTCAGTGAGTGAAGTCTTATTTTTGACTTGTTTGGTGTCTTCGAATTGACGCTTGGAGAGGGTGTTTCGTGTGATCCCACGCTCTTGATTTTTGGAGGGTGGCACCCTTCTGTGTTTGTTGTGCATTTGGCAAAAGCGGAACAAAAGAACCTTTGATGGGGGAAGCGGAACAGGTTTTGTTGGACACTTTCTAATATATTTTTACTTTAAAAAAAAAAAGAGAAAAAAGAAGAAGAAGAAGAAGAAGAAGCATGCATCCACACAAAACACTAGAAATGGTTCAGCTGATCATGTAACACAAACATATTTCAACCATAACTCCATACCAAAATAAATAAATAAAATACACTTCAACCATAGCTAAACAATCTTCAGCAAAACACACCAACGGTATTCACACTCGAGCAGAAAAAGAATATGGGAGAAAACAAACAATAAATCATATATGAAACTTCCAATTTTGGTGTCCCCAAATAAATTGCATGTCAGCATTTGGTGCCCCTTGAATTGAAGGCCATTATGTTTTCTTGGCAGTAGCAAGAGAGAACCCAAAGGATTGGATCCGCCACCTTTTTACTTCAGTCACTTGGATGGTAACTGCAGTAAAATTACTTCCACTTCCAAATACTAGCCTGTCCAAAAATGATCACTGAAAAAAAAAAAAAAATCAATCAGATTCACCAAATATGTTAATCTAACACATATATGTTTACTCACCAATCTAGTGTGGATGTGAATACGTATGATGCATGCATTCCCTGTATGTTATTTTTTTAAAATAGTAGTTGATTAATCCAGCAACTAATTAGACACTGACTTTTTAAATTCAAACTAAAAATATATTACAAACTCAAAATTTAGACACCAAATTTGCCAACCTAAATCCTACTGTCCTAATAAGGTGGTAAATAATATAGTAGAAACTAGAAAAAATGTGGTTATCCATGTGGTCATTTTTTTCATAATATATGAAGGTTTTTTTTTTTTTTTTTTTTTTTTTTTTTTTTTTTTTTTTTTTTTTTTTCATGACATATAAAGTTTGACACAAAGAAATGGTCAAAACGTGATTCAGGTATAAAGTTTGACACAAAGAAATGGTCAAAACGTGATTCAGGTAGTAAAAATGACGTTGAAGGAATCCACCTCTTTCTGTTCGTTTAATTCAGAATTTTAAACCTCAATTCCATCCACAACCATGTGAAAAACACTAGGGGAAAAAAACAAGAAAAAAAGGAAACCTCTTAAAATGTAGTTAAATCTAAGTGACCAAAATGTCGTCTTCTTCTTATTATTATTTTTTTTCGTTAAATAGGTGATCAAATTTCTAGCACAATCTAAGGATTTTTTTATTTTTGTTTTTTTTCCCTTTCTTTGGTAAAGATTTGACAGCACACATTATCTTGTACTTTGATTCATATTTGAAAAGGTTAAAAAAGTTAAGTTGAATGAAGATTTGACAGCACACATTATCAATTTGAAAATTTAAAAATAGCAGATTCCCCCTTCCCAAACCTGTGAGATGCAGAAAGATAAAAATTAAAAGATAGAATTACCTTAATTTACTCATTTAGCAAAATATCTTCTTCATCATGGTTTCCAGTCTCTCTCTTTGCCAAGACTTGTTCCTTCATCATCCTTATAAGTAGTAATCCCTGAATTAAACACAAGTGGATAAAACTTCATAATATTTATAAAATAAAAATAGTTTGTCACTACTATGTAGGAAAAAGAATATATATATATATATAATCTCCTATCAAAGTTTAATGACATTTCATATTTACCCTTTCTTTCTTGAACACGCTGTTGCACATAATTATTGAGGTCACTCACTTCTTCAAGTTCAACGTTATCATTACATAATTTTATTACCGGTGTGCTTATCTGTCCAGATGTAAATGTCTGCATTTTGTCACATCTTATCAGCCTAACATTCCGTAGGGATGGCAATTTAAAAGCATTTTTTGCCCAACAAAAACTTGTGAGGTTTGGTAGATGGTAAAGCTCCATAGACTGTAACTTGGGAAACACAATTTCATCCATGCCACCATCCTCTTCACCTTGATCTTCATTTTTAATTATTTCTTCAATCGCATCACACCAACGAACCTTCAGTTGTTCAATATTTGTGAGATTTCTTGCGATTGAGAGTGAGAATAAACATTTCAGGCTGTTGCAAGATCCAACTGTTAAAGATGTTAGGTTGTGGTAGGGGTCCAACTTTGTTATTTGAGGGGCTCCTCTTTTGATGTCTTCAAGTCCTTCACGGTTGAAGACAACTTGTAATGAATCACAAAATCCCACATTGAGTTCTTCAACAACTTCAAACCCCTGTAGCAGCAAGGTAGAAATATCTTCAAGCACGCTGCAGTTATTCAGCTGCAGCTTTCTAACTTTGCTAAATGAGGCTGCTGGGACATGGCCATACAAAATATCTTCAAAGATGATGCTTCCATCCATATCCGAGAGTGTCAAATGCTCCAAGACAGGAAAAGCAACCTACACAGATTATATAGTAGTGTTTGAAGCATGTAAAATTTGATGAAAAAAAAGCAACGTACAGACAAATCAATTAAAGAAAACTTATTTTGTTATTAAATTTTCAGTTAAAAGGAGTTTCAAGTGTGATGGATGGGTTGCTGGACATGCATCCCACATGAAGCTGCTATTTGAGACAATAATGGCAAGGTAAGGTAATTTTGGATCAAAAGTTTAATACCATTGGATATATCGCAGATCACTATAATTCTTCTTAAACTATAATATTAGAAATGGTCAAATTTCAAAAGTAGTAGTATGTTAGGGGTGCATAAAATTTAATTTATTCTTAACCTTTTTGAATATAAATCATATAATATCATAATATGATATTATATTTTAAAATCATATAATATCATAATATATATTACTTAACAAATTTTTTTTTTTCTTCTCAATATTGGACTTTCTTATTAAAATAAAATTCAGGTGAATTTAACAAAAAAACATTCAATAATATTCAAAGGATAAATATTGTCACACCTGCACTTAACATTCTCCTTTTAAAAATGTTCCTTTAATTTTTTAAAACGTGGGTTCATTCATAATTTTTTTAAATCGTGGGTTCATTCAAAAACTATGCGTCAATGCAGATATGCAATGACTTCTTTCTAATACGTAAGGCCTATATATATATATAATACTAGTAATGGTCAAATTTCAAAAGTAGTATGTTAGGGGTGCATAAAATTTAATTTATTCTTAACCTTTTCGAATATGAATCATATCATATCATAATATATAGTAATATATATATATATATATATATATATATATATATATATAATTCTTTTTTCCTTTATGGAAAGATTTAACCAAAAAAAAGTGTTTTACTTTGCCAACTTCTGAAGCTAGGAATAACAAACTAACGTTGCATGTATTCTTCATTCAACTTAACTTTTTTAACTATAAAAAAAAGTTTATTTTTTATTTTTTATTTTTTATTTTTGTCAATTTATAAATTTTAACTATTAAATAATAGGCATTTTTAAAACAAAACATGTTCAATTTAGGATATGGCGTACCTTTTTCGAGGATGATTGTGAGGGGGCAGTGACTCGGCAAGGAAACATTTCCAATTTGGGACAACGAAATATTGCCATACTTTTTAAGGATGGCAATTCATAAATGCGACTCCTCCGGTAAAAAATCCTCAGCTGTGGCAAAAACTTGAAGCTTATAGATTTCAATTGAGGGAACACAAGATTGTCCTCCAAGTCTTTTTCTATATCTGCATCTCTTGCAACCATTCCTTCCTCGGCATTTGACCCTTCTTCAACCTTAAGTACCTCTTCCAAGGAGTCACACCCGAATATGCTAAGTTCTTCTAGGTTGTGGAAACTTCCAAGCAATTTTGATGGAGCAACACTTAACAGTTCAACACAATAAGACACTTTCAACACCCTTAGTTTACAAATAGCATCTGTTGGAACCGTGTCGTCCCATATCTCCTTCACATTGTTTTCACGTCCTTTATACTCGAAGCTCTCCAAACAAGGGAACTTGACCTGCAAAACATCAATCTTCTAACCTTATTAATGAAAGAATAGAGAAAAAAGGGAAAGCAAAAGAAAACTCTCTATTAACATTCAAATCTTCATTTCTCTATGACCACTTCATCTATACGAATATAGTATTACCATTTCATGCAAATACAAGCATGTTTGTATTTAAATGGGTCTCACATACCACATACCAATATTTAATTAGTTGGTAAACAGTTTATTCAATTTTGTAGATTACTTAATGTTGTCTCCATATATAAAATTGTTTGAATCTCTCCAGGAAAAAAATAATAAATAAATAAAATAAAATAAAATAAGAAAGAATCAAATTTACCATTATGAAGTCATTCATTAATCAAAATAATTATTGTTTAACAAATAATCTTTAATTAGAATCTCACTTGTGAATCTGTGATGTATCCTATCAAGAATAAACAAATCCAATGGAAAGATTTGTACCTCCAAAAAACGCATCAAATAGTCAACTTGGGCAACGAGACCGGAAGAATGGATTTGGGACTGTGTTTTCGGAAAAGTCAAGAAGTTGATGTGTTGTGCAATTTGGTCTCTTTGGGGTTGCGGTTGAAATGTAAAGCGCACTTTTATCAATAGCAGCTACTTTTCATAATTAAATTAGTTTTAATTTATTTTGTAACAATTGTTTTTTTAAATATTTTTATTGCTAATTTTACAATAATAATCTTTAATAATAGAATATTACCATACTTGATAGTAGTAACTTAATTAAAGAATGAGTGTAATTATTTTTATAAAAAATAAAAAAACAGGACATAATTGACTTAGTTTGGTATCATTAAAAATGTTCTTAATGGTTTCTAAACACAACTAAACGCAGTTTTTTATAATAAAAGCGTGCTTCTAAAGGACTAAACGAGCTTGGAATTAAAAGTGCGTTTTTAAAGGGTGAGCTAAATGGGCTCGAAATTCAACCGCACCAATCTATATATATATATACATATGAAAATTATGTCGAACTTGACTTAATCACATGGTCTTCTTCCTTCAAAATGGAGCAACTGAAATTTCATACTCTTATCGTAGTGTATGTGCGCTCATTTGAAGGAATCCTAGTAATAACCAAAAGCAAGAAAACAAAATATACACCATGAATCTAGCAAAATGAACAGAAAGATGTAAATGCAAAGACAAGAAGTGCCATGGGCTTCGTTATTGGGCTTCTGTTACTAAGAAGACCTTTAAATTCTTTAATTCAACAATTAATTAATGTGTTTAATTTTTCATTCAAGTTTCTAATTCTAAGTTGAATTTGTATGCAACAAAAATCAATATTAAATGATTTAATTCAAAATAATCCTGCAAGTAACTAAGTAAGTGAAAATAACAGACACCAAGAAAATTTAATTCACATTGCCACTTTTGTCACGTGCTCTTTTTCTACTAATAAGCAACTAATTATTTTTTAAAATAGTAACTAAAATTTAATTCTTTAAATTAATCAAACTGATATATTTATTAATAATCAATGAATATAGTAGAAACTAGAAAATTTAGCAATATAGAGGGGCCCATTTAATTTTTGAATAATATTATTCTCTTTTTATTTTTAAGGAAAAAAATCATATAACCACCTCCCCCTATTATCATTTTTGTCTAAAAAAAACTCTCACTAAAATTAAACACCTCTCTCAACAAAAAAAAAAATGTTATCAAATTCTTACATACCCGGCCCAACCTTATGATTTAATATTAAATTAAAACTTATATTTATTATTGTGAAATTACAAAAATAACTCCACCCACCTCGCATCTTGTTCTATCAGCTATGTCTATATATAAATTGTCAAATTAGAGATTATCCGGCGACTTGGCTCGGCGTCGTCCCAACTTCTCCTTGGAAACCATGATTCGATTAATGTTCTTTTCCGGCGACATCTCCGGCCAAAATTCCGGCTGCCGCAGAAGGGGTCGGTTTTGAAGCAATTGACGGGCAGGAGGGTGGGGGCGCCACCATCACCACCGCCGCAGCCGCCAACTCAGAGCACATTGCAGTATCGCAAATTGCATCACAACAACAATTGAAACCCAAATTGCAGACATCATCACTTTTTATTCTTCTTTTGTTCGAAGTGAATCGCAATAGCAGGAATTCCGTCCCAACAACAACATCGTCAATCTTGCTTCTCTTCTCATTGCATCAACGAAGCAGGCAGTTCCTTTTTTTTACTCACAAATCGCCACTATCATCACTCACTGATGATAGCATCGACTTCACCAAAATTCACATCGCAACTTCAATTTCACAATCATATCCTCGTCTCTTCCTCGCATTGCATCGACTCTTCTCAGTTTCCATAACAGTACCCATTTGATTTGGCAATTTCTTCTACACTCTTCTTCTTCCAAAGTGACTAGCACAAATAATTTGGACTTTTGTTTTTTTTTTTGGCTTTGTGGCTCCGAAAATCCCAGATTCATACTAGGGCTAAACACAAAACCCAAAATTGATTCCCCAATCAACTACCTCCATCTCCGTCACCGACTACGTCGCCATGGACAACGACCTCCACTAGGACAGGACGCCGTGGGTCCGCGATGTTGGATTTTGGGTTTGTTCTGCCATGGCCAGGACCTATGGGAAAGGCGGGTGGACGTTGACGGTAATGATAATGTTAATTACCGCCTGCATATTTTGTCAAATTCTCTTCGTTACCGATGGACAACTAAGCCTATCTTGAAGCACTGTAACACCAGCACTAGGTGACTAGCATGGATGAATAAAACTGATTGTCTTCTTTTCAATTTTTGTTTTGTTCCACCATAATTGTATGGTTGAATTTTTCCTAAACAAGTTGAATGCTTTATTAACCTAAGTGAATGGATTTGATTCTAATTGTATGGGTGAATTTTTCGACCTCACCATCGCGGTTATGTTATTGGGCTTCTGTTACAGAAGACTAAGAAGCCATTCGAAATCTTTAATTTAATAATTGCTTGAATTTCCCCATTTTTTCCTTTCTTTTCTTTAGAATTAAAGCTTTACGGGCTGAATGGCTTGAATTCCTTGTTCCTAGCATGAATTCTTAATATTAAGAAATGAAGTTATGCATACTGCATATTTGCTAATTTGGAGTTAATATATATATATATATATATATATATAGATCACTATATAAAAAGTGCGTACCGTGTAATTGAAGAGTGCTTGGGGAATAATGTCATTATGGACTGTTGCTTTTTTAGACTCATAGAAACTTTTGAGTTTTGACAACCCTCCAAGTTGCATAATCTTTAAGTGAGGGAACACAATAATCTCATCACTTGTCTCTCCTCCTCCTCCTCCTCCTTTTTGACCTGCAATTATCACATTTACCAGTTTCTCACATTTAAGTATCTTTATGTTCCTTAGCTGGTGGAAGGATGATTCTTCTTCTGCTTTCGAATCTAGGAATAATAGGTTGTTCCATATTGCTGTAATGTTTTTCAATCCTCTTACCTCCAGTACTTCCAAAGCAGGGAATGAAACCTGCAAAATTCATTATTTCAAAGCATTATTACTAAATTTTGCAAACAAGCTTCTTTAATTCCCCTTCACTATTTTTGACTACAATCACTTGGTGAGCATCAAACAACTCTAATTTATCTTATTCTTCCATCATATGTGAGTTTTAATAATATCATCATTGTACTTGATACGGGTCAAGTTTAGGTTAAGTTTAGAGAAAATTTGGACTCGTCAATTTATAAACCACAAAAGGCTAGCTTATACTTGCTCTATTTTGGAAACTTTTCTATGTACTCTTGATGGACCAACACCTAACACACAGTCTGCTCTTGATTTAAAGGTTAAAAACCAAAATCTTTGGAGCCATATAAAAAATTATATATGTAAGAGTAATATTTGCCAAAATGATAATATTGGTCCTTCTTATTAAAAAAGTTGCACATATAATAATAATAATAATAATAATAATAATAATGGAACATGTTGAATTATCCATTCATTTAAAATTAGCATATAATTAAATAGTTAAAAAATTACAAAAAAAATAAATTAAGATTTCCCCAAAGCTAAATATAATGGGTAAAACAAATTGAGAAAATATTACCATCTAAAAGGAGCCGCATGCAAAAATAGCTAATTTTATTGAGTGGACATAAACTTGACAATAGTGTGCTTCATGGTCTAAGAGGAGCTTCACGCAAATAGCTAATATTATCAGCCTTAAAGACCATGTACTTGGGATCAAATTTTATTTATTTATTATTTAAATATTCCTACAAGTAAGTGAAAAGAATAATACTCCATATTTCATTTAGCATTAATTGCAAAACAGTTCTTGACGAATTTATATACGTGTATGTATATTCTTCTACAATTTATAAATGTGGTCTACATTTTCATAAGTTATTGAGACGATGTCTCTTGAACTAATTATAATTGTAGCTCTAGGAGGACTTATTAATCCAATGCTTCCCAACTATCAACATATATATATATATATGTGTGTGTGAAAATTATGTCTACAACTTGACTTAATCACATGGTTTTCTTCCTTCAAAATGGAGCAACCGAAATTTCATAAACTGTTTACGTAGTGTATGTGCGCTCATTTGAAGGAATCCTAGTAATAACCAAAAGCAAGAAAACAAAATATAAATTTCAGTTGAATTATATAATAATAATAATAATAATAATAATAATAAAGGAGCATGTTGAATTATCCATTAATTTAAAATTAGCATATGTAATTATTGTAATAATATAATTGCACGCTTAAAAGATAAGCTCTTTAATTTTAATTTTAATTTTTTCTATGCTAATCTTTAAAATTTTTAAATCACAGTATCTCACCAATAAAGTGGGTGAGATTTCACATTGCCACTTTTGCCATGTGCCCTTTTTCTACTAACTAGTAAAACAATAAGTGCATTGTAGGTGAGTAAAATTTAATTTAAAATTAACATTCAACAAAGTAAGTAAATAATTATTTTTTGAAATAGTAATTAAAATTTAATTCTTTAAAATAATCACACTGATATACTTATTAATGATCAATGAATATAACTTGTCACAATATATTTTCAAACTCCTAAAACAATATCAAAATCAAGACTATTTTTTTATTACAATTCACTAATATTTATTTTTGCAATGAATAATATTCAACAAATAAATGAAACTCTTTTTAAAAAATAAAATAATAAATAGGTTATTTGAGTTTTATAGAAACTCTTATAAGAAAATATAAAACTCATAATAAACATGTAATTTGAGTTTTATAGAAACTGTTCTAAACAACTTATAATACAAATTGGATAGAAATTTGTGTTAGATTTCAATAGAAATTCTTTAAAAATCTTTTTTATATTAATTATAAATATTTTTTATATAAATAAATAAATACTGAAATAGTGAAACTGTACTTTTAATATTAGTATGATAATTTGTGTTAGAGTTTTATATAAACTCTTTTATATTAATTAATAAGTATGTAATTTGAGTTTTTTATTTTATATTAATTAAAAATAAAAAAGCTCATAATAAATAGAGAATTTATGTTAGAGTTCTATAGAAATTCTTTTAAACTTTTTTTGTATTAATTAATTAATATTTTTTATATTAATAAATGAAATACTGAAATATTAAAACTCTTTTTACTTCTGATAATAAAATAGTATAGATATAGATATAGATATAAATATAGATATTGATATTGATATTGACATTGATATAGATTTAGATTTAGATAGATTGTTTAGACATTCACGTGATATTGTATTATATAAGCAATGATAGTGAGTCCAAACACACCAATGGTGCCCCAAGGCCCAAACTTTTGATGCTGGAGGGTGAAAAATTCAGAGAATGAGAAGTGAGACTCCGAAGGCATATACCAGTTTTTGAAATAGGCTAATTAATTATGTACAACAAGTATACTTCCAAGTGGTATATGAATAAAATATGTTTTGAGCAACAGAGCATACCTTTTCATTAAAGAAAGCTTGTGCAAGGTCGGAAGTATTGCAATCCGTGCTTGACGTTTTCTTCCTATTGGTGCAGCATATGCTTACGAGGTTTGGTAGTCCGTACAACTCCATTTTCTTTAATTGATGAAAAGTAACATTATTCATTACTTCCTCATCATCATCTAGAATTATTTCTTCCATGATTTCGCATTCCTGTATTTGTAATTCTTGGAGTTGTAGAAGAGCTCTTGCCATGGATACGTGGAAGAGAAATTTCATTCTACAACGTCTAATATCTAACACACTTAATCTGTTGAAAGCACCGTGACTTTGAAAATTCCATTTTGGACTGCCAAGTAGATGTTCCATGTCACTAGAGTCCTCGATTCTAAGATATTTCAAATCCAGAAACCCTTTTCCATCTCCACATTGAAGCACATTCTTTAAATCTTCCACATTCTGTAAAAAAAGTGCTTCCCCATTCTCAATCAAAATATTGAACTCCTTCCTCATACTAATATCATCAAGTTTCAACATCCGTGCTCCTAAGTCTTCTTCATCATACCCAAAACCCTTAGTCCACCCAACTGATATTTTGAATCTGTTCAAGGACTTAAAGCAGAGCTCATTGGGCAGTAGCATGCCATCTCCTATGTGAATTTGTAAAGTGGTTAAGCCTGTCAATGAATTAAGTTCATCAATCCTTGCATTCCCTTCAACCCCCCATTCCCCAAAATCATGTGGAATGTACAGTTCCTCAATTTTGGATAGACTTTTTATGACACCTGATGGAATGATCCGGAGGTTTTCACATTCTCTTAAATCCAACCACCGCAAGTTAGTCAACTGTCCTACTTCCACAGCCACCTCTTTCAGATTAGAATCATTAACGCTTAGTATCTCAAGTTTTCTTAGTTCCTTGAGAAAAGCTAGGTTCTGCAGTTGACAGTTATAGAGTCGCAACATCCGAAGGCTGATCAGATTTAAAGGTGATGATGGCAGCCGCACGGAACGCAAATCTAAAACTTCAAGCTTTTTCATCCCTTTAAAAAAATTATCTGGAGCTTGAGGTTTACTATCGGTGTTGCATTCCAATACCAAGGTCTGTAATTCTGCACATTGTAACTCATAGGGAAGCTCACAAATTTGGAACCTCAATGAGATTACCTTACAGGATTTATATTCATCCCTCTCTGGCCACTCTCGGACATCTGTTTTCAAGAGAAATTCCTCTTTTGATGCAATTAAGATGGCAACATCTCGAATAATGTCGTGCATTTTGACGAAGTCTTTGCTTTCACCTTCTAACAACAAATGATATTTCTTCAAGGTATCAACTAATACAAGTATTCTATCTCGCGCTGTTTTCATTGTATCCCGGTTGTGCTTGAGAAACCTTGTTCCCACTCCATACATCACCAAGTCATCAATCGGAATTTCATAATCTTCTGGAAACAACGAACAATGCAAAAAGCAAGACCTAGCATCTGTCTGCTTCAGATACTTGTAGCTCCACTCAATGCGGGAATACAATTTTTCGTTCATTCCCTCAATGTTATCTCCGCTGCAATTGCTCAATTGAACATGTGCATCATCCCACACATGCTTTTCCTTCTGATCCCTCATTGCTGCTCCAACTACAAGTATTGCCAAGGGCAAATGATCACATTCTCTACAAACTTGTTTTGCAACAGAATGAATTTCATGAGGAAATTCAATAAAATCTCCAACTGTTTTCTTAAACAGGTACCATGCTTCATGTTCCTGCAGAAGTCCAATTTGGAAGTTTTCTTGAACCCCCATCTGAACGCACACATCTCGTCTCCGAGAGGTCAGCAAAACTTTGCAGCCCTTGAAATGATCATTGCTAGATGGGATTCCTATGTCCTCCAACTTTATTTCATCATTCCAAATGTCATCGATTATTACAAGAATTTTTTTCCCATTTTTCAGTCGGTTGCACAGCTCCCCCTTTCTCCCAACTTCAGTCTCTGTTTTAAATGACATATTTAAACACTCAGCAAGCTCTTTTTGAATTTTTTTCAAATTTGGATTTTGGGAGAAGACTGCCTTGGCGACCTCATCAAAAAGCTTCTCTGCTTGAGCTTGTTTGGCAATCTCTTCAGCCATTCTCGTCTTTCCACAACCTCCCATCCCATGAATCCCGATTCTGTAATTTCTATTATCATCTTTCAACACCTCCATGATCTGCTTACGAACCAATTCTCTGGATTCGAAATGCTCAAAACCTGTGGTAGATGTGTACCAAATATCAACTGTATCAAACTTGTTGGCTTGCTCTATAAGCCCCCAAACATCAGACCAAATATCAACTGTATCAAACTTGTTGGCTTGCTCTATAAGCCCCAAAACATCAGACAACTTCTTTTTACCTTCCTTACCAAGCCGATACCTTGAACCAACATCAAAACATGACTTGATGTTTTCATTGTTTGCCAATAATCTGTTCAGGTCTTCCTCCTTTTTATTCACATCCGTTAGCCAATTCAAAACGTCTTTCTCAATGACTTCTCCATTGTTTTCGGCTGTTTCAACTTTTCCTTCAATCCTCTCCTTCACGCCTCTAAGATTCTGGACTTGAGCATGGAGATCCTCGATATTTTTCTTGTAGTGAACCACATAACCAATTCGGCGGCCCATGGATGCCAAAAAGCGGTCTCTAAGTACCTCTACCATCTTTCCCACCACAGTAGTAATGACTTCCATTTTCAACTCTTTTTTCCCTAAATATAAAGCAAATGACAGAAAATTAAATACGTACAAAGATCAACAACTGTTAATATTGAAGAAAAACTAAAAGAGATATATAGTTGGGGACGTGGCTCTAACAAGATTAACGGTTGGGTCAGACAGTGGCATATACAACTTATCTACTGCTGTTGAAGCTGAAAGGACGACAACAAGGGCATTGTCATATACAACTTATCTATGTGGGTGAAAGTTGAAAGCCCGAGAAGGAGGGAGAAAAGAAGCACTTGTAAACATGAAATTGAAAAGTTATGAAGTTCAACATTAGCGGGTTTATGAACTGGAAGGGTTATTCTATCCCCCTGCTTTAGTACTGGTTCATGGTTTTGGAGCAAACAGGTCTACATCCTTAATATATTGCTTCTCGTCAACTAATTGTTAGAAGTAGATAATATTGGAAGGCAAAATATTTTCTGTTGACTTGAACTATTTTCTCCTTTGGTCAGTTGTACAAACAGAACTATTGTAATTTACACCATCATCAATTACCTTTCTTTAATTTCAATACATAATCAATAATCTTGTTAGAGCCACGTCCAACAATACACCATCTGACTTTGAACTTCTTTGACCAGATTTTGTTACTGGTTATATATTTTTTTTAGTTTATTATTATTAATTTTTTTTTTTACTCAAGTCTTAAAGTTTTGTAAGTGTTTTGACATCGGTCTATTAGAAATTAATTAGGGATCAGCCTCTAGGAGTGAGTTAACTGATGATTTCATTAAAAAAAGTCCAATCTAATTTTGTTTTTTCCATGAATGAGTCCTATCTAATTTTGTTTTGTGTTTTTTTTTTTTTTTTTTTTTTTTTAAGACGTCAATTTTTTTTATGCTTCCAATTTTAATTTTATTTTTATTAATGCAACCAAAATGAAATGTATCTTATTTTGTTTTAGATATAAAAATAAAAATAAAAAATTCTTTTTATTTGTTATTAAATAAACTTTAATTTTAAAACTTTTCTAAAAAAAATCATAAAACAAACTTATACATATACAAACAATCCGAGATCAAACTAAAAAGATTTTGAACAAAAGGTAAGAAAGATCAAAAGTCTTCTTTCTTGGAACATGAAAGATTGAAATTATTTAGGATTGCAATCAATCATGTATGTATAGACATACATGATTTAGGATTGCAATCAATGATGTATTTATAGGAAACATGAAAACATATATAGACATATATATATATATATATATATAAGAACAAATCTGTTTATTTAAGATTTCAATCAATCATGTATTTATAATTTTATGATAATAACAACCATGGAGCTTAGGGTTTTTAGAAAATGATTCACGCTACCAACAACTGTTTGATAAGATCATTCAACGACTAAGATTTGGAAGGTGCAATATATATATATTGCACCTTTGAGAATTTAAAAGCCCAAGCCCCAAAAGATTTGGAAGGTGTAATTTAGAAAATTGACCCAATTTGAGAATTTAAAAGCCCAAGCCCCAAAAGTTTTGGGCTGGTTTGGGTTGGGCCGGTTGGCCCGCCCAAGTTACACCCCTACCCAAAAACAATAATTATATAAATCTAATAAAATAATAAGATATAATAAACTTACCCAATTGCTTTAACTCTCTCCGCGTACACGAACTTAATAAAACTAGTAAAACACCAAAATAAAAGATACGTAAACTAAAAAGTTTACAGGAAACAAAATAACTTTTTTTTATATATAAATAATTAGTAATTTGTTTCGAGTAATTAAAATTTTTAATATTTATATAAGTCAATTGTATTATCTTTTTACACGAGTATTTAGAATCCAGTTAGAAAGATTAATAAAATTTACTCTTTTTATCCTACTTTTTTTAATAATAATAACTCCAAATTATATAAGGCAACTCTTTTAAAAAAATAATAAAACTCTTCATAGAAATAATAATAATAATAATAAACTCCAAATTACATAAGGCAACTATTTTAAAAGTATAATTAAAACTATTTTGTAAAATATAAATATCTAACTAAAGACTCTTATTTTTTAATAATAACAATACTAACTCCAAATTACATAAGGCAACTCTTTTATAAAAATAATAAAAACACTTTATTGAAATAAATAATGATACTAAAAAACTTCTTAAAAAATAAATAAATAGAGGATAAAAACTCAAAATTGCATAGAAATTCAAAATTGGATACAAATTCTAGTACTTTTAATAATAATATAGATATAAATATAGATAATATTATATATCTTCCAATCACAAAACAAATGTAATATAAATAATATTATAATTATTCCAGCACTTAAAAAAAGGTAGTAAAATAATGATACAAATATTGTGCTAACCAACGAAGTAACAGTGTTGATCAGTCCAATCAATAAAAATTTAATTATTTTCTTCAATTTTATGTTATCATTTATGTTTCATAAATCTAATAAAAATAGTAAAGGTAGTTTTTAAAAATCATATTCCTATAAAGTCAACATTTGAATTTAATAGGTAAGTTAAAAAATGTTCATAAAACAGCATAGTATAAATTACTACATTCAATGCCTAAACAATAATCTAAATAAAAATAATTTTTATATTAATTTAAAATAAATCAATATTTCTCTTTAAAATTTTCAATCCTAATGGTATGCTTGTACAAAAACATAATAGATAATTTTAAGTTTTTTCGAATTGAAAGACATTATAAATTCTTACTCAAATATTTTTAAAAAAAAGAAATATTGGCAATGATTGTACAACAATATTACGCTGATGAATGAAGCAATGTTTTTGATAAGTCCAATTAATCAAATTTTGATTATTTTTTAAATTTTACTTCATGATACTATATTACTAACATCATAGTATGTGTGTGTGTGTGTGTATATATATATATATATATATATTTTTTCCCGGGTAATAACAAGCCAAATGACACTTACATAAAGAAGCATCACAAACAACCAACCAAGACACAGCATATCTACAAACATAGACAAGACAAAAACTAGTAACCCCCTAATCGAAACCAACACCAAAAGCTCAAGGCAACAGCTTTGACAGCAACCCAATGCTTCGACTGGTTTCGGATAATACTATACTCAACTGATACATAATAACCTAAATATAAAGGATTTATTATTATTATTATTAATTGAAAGTAAACTTTGAGATCATTATTTCTTTTTAAAGTTTTCAATCCTAATAGTACGCTTGTAAAAACAGAAAAAATAGACGGTTAGTAAATTTTTTAAAAATAAAAGAAATTATAAATCCTTACAAAAAAATTCTAAAAAAAATTAAATATTGAGAATGGCAAATAAGATAATATGCTACTAATGAATGAAGTAATGGTGTTGACCGGTTCAATTAATAAAATTTTGATTATTTATATTAATTTTACATCATCATTTATGTTTCATAAATCTAATAAAAAATAGTAAAAGTGATTTTGAAAGAGGGGAAAGTACAAAAAACCCTTTTTATTTGTAATCTTTTCCGGTAAATTCCTCTTGTCTATTTTTTTTTATCAAAGAATCCCCTCGACTTGTATCATTTTTTCTAATAAACCCCCCTTATCTAATTTTTTACCAAATAACCGCCCTCAACTATCTGAAGGAGTAAAAGTAGAGGTGCACACGATTCGGTTTAAACCGGTTTAAGAGTTTTATAGAACCAAACCAATTCTAACGGATTCATAAAACTTGAAACCGAACTGAACCATTTGACCAAAAGAACCAAACCGAACCAAATCGTGAAAAATCAATTTAGTTCGGTTTGGTTCCATGATTTTTTTTTTATTTTTTTATTTTTAACACAAGTATTCATATTTCAAAATCCACATGCACAACTATAAACCAAGTTACCAACACATTCAAAACTATTAATATATTCAGACTTTTAATTCATTCTTCCCTAACACTTCTCGAACTGAAGTGAACAAATTCAAAATTCCTAATGACCTAATACATTTAGAATTATTAATTCAACAACAAACAATCAACTACAATTCAAAATTCAGTCACTATACAAAAAAATAATAATAATAAAATAAATAAATAAATAATCGTCATCTAATAAATTGATAAGAGATAAAATTAAAAGTGGACGATAAGATTGATAGTTGCTACAAACTTCTAGGTAATTTGAATTGTAGAAATATATTATATTATATATGTCGTATAATTTAACATATATATATAACATAAGGGTTAAGTTCGGTTCGGTCTAGTACGGTCCTAAAAGACCTCAAACCGTGACTGAACCGTATCTTTACGGTTTTACAAATTTAGAATCGTGACCAAACCAAACCTTTAGTAAACCAAACCAAACTGTCTGGTCTGGTTTGGTCCGGTTTGGATTTTCAGTTTGATCAGATTTTTGTACACCCCTAGGTAAAAAGAGTTAATATTTGGACCAAAATGTCCTTTTATTTAAATCTTAATTCTCTCGAACTTTAAAAATTCATATATCACAAACCGTACATTTAAAAATTGTAAATGATATATGCATAGAAAGCTTATAAAATAAGGATTCTATAAATATTTATACAATAAACCTCCATAACCAGAGAGAAGTAGGCAATCTAAAAATTTACTCCAAGAATCTTATTTTATTTTTAAAATACTCGAGATATTTGAAAGAAAATTTTCAGAATTATTCATTTACATATGGAACCGAATATAGAAAAAAAATATAGTTCCAATAGAGATCAATTTCATGAGATATCATATTTTGCGTCAAAGTATTTTCATTTTTTTATACACTTACCATTTTAAAAAATATAAAAATAAATATTCGGTCTCTATTGGGGTTAATTTTTTTATATATTATGCTCCCTATGAAAATTAATAATTCTGAAAATTTTCTTGTAAATAAACTGAGTATTTTACAAAAAATAAAATAAAATAAGATTGTTGTAGTGATGTTTAGATTGTCTATTTTTCTTTTATTGTGAAGTTTTGTCAAACAAATCTTATATTTCTAAAATCTTTGTTTTATAAGCTTTTTATGCAT